CTTATCCTTTCGTGCTCTTTCTCGTCTTCCTCTACCCCATCTCGCTACCCTACCCTCCTGCACCCTCCCAGCCCACTCTTACCAGTTTCGGCCATAGAACTACGCATACCCTTACTCGCCCCATCGGCCCACACACTTGCTCATCCACTCACCCCCGCCCACTTACCCACTCTCACACTCATTAGCACACGACACAGTACAGCAGCGCAGTGGTTATCGCTGTCGGGGCCGCGATCACGGCGACGGCAGCGAAATACAACAGTAACTCGAATGACTCTTCTCCAATGTATACTTGTCAACCGAGTTGATAGATTTGCGTTAAATACATGTTATGAAATACAAAACAAATAAAAATAACTTGATTACAAAAAGACGTAAAATCACATGAGACACCTTCACCAGGTGTAAAAACGTTCGTCAAAGACATATGTGCCCATTACAATCTGTTCTATTCATAATTTCGGTTACATTGTATTAACCCTTGGCACTTGAGAGGTGACTCTCAAGCATCACTTGATCCGATACGGCAATGTTACGTCCCACGTAACGCTCCCTGCCCATTACAATCCGTTCTATTCATAATTTCGGTTGCATTGTATTAACCTTTGGCACTTGAGAGGTGACTCTCAGGCACCACTTGGTACGATATAGCAATGTTACGTCCCACGTAACGCTCCCTGCGCGTGCATCGGCCCGCGTATCGAACTAGCCCGGGAGGCCCAGGATTTTTCTTCTTCAAAGTAATAGACTCATCAAGTCTAAAATTCGTTCTTTTCAATCCAGACAACAGGGGAGCCCCCCATCTTAGTTCTTGCGATAGGCTGCCGCCACACTACGTAAATAATAGATAAGTCGAAAGGGGTCCCAAAGACCTCGAGTCTAGCTGCTCCCCGTAATATTCAAAATATTTCAGAAAAGGGGACCCCGTGATGACGGATACCACCCCTGCACGGGCGAGCTCGTGAGTCCCGGCAGAACGGCGACATACAATCTATCCCCAGAAAAGTAAACATTAACCCGTCTCCCGAGGACACTTCTCCAAAATTCTTCGCTCCGAACTCCTCTTCCTAAAAACGTATTTTTCAACCCCTTCCTCCCATAAGAGATTTTTTTCTAACCCTACTCATTTCCCTAAAACATGGTTTTAGTGAAACTAGCTAAACATGAAACTACCTAAAACATGGTTTTAGGGAAACTAGCTAAACATGAAACTACCTAAACATGAAACTACCTAAAACATGGTTTTAGGGAAATAAGTTTATATATTTTCAACGACTTAACCTCTCAGATATATATAAACTGACTCTTTTATATCACCTTAACCCATCACGTTCGGGGCCTTTGCCATTCAAATTGCCATGTGACTGATAGTCACCTCTCGAGTACAAAGGGTTAAGTATAAACTAAATTATTTAAATAGTTACAAAACGACTGAGTTATTATATACCAAATATAAAAAATGTCTCACTTCTGGCCCAATAATAACTTTTTTAAATGAAGTATATTTTCTATCATTCGTAAGTTTTATAAACTATATAGACTAAATGGTTACAAAGCCCCCCTCACCTTAAGTACCTACAATGAGATTTTTGCATAGTTTGAGTAGCATCTTTCAGCCGTAGGCCGCCTGATTATTCGAATATTTTGTCATTAAATTCCTCTACGCAGTATTAAGGTGAAGTGAAACAGATCAAGGAACTTGATCGACATCGGTAAAACAGATTTTTCTAAATACCTATGTTGCCGACGTTCGTTTTTTTTTACATTGACAGCTGTGTCGAATTATATTGAGTATTGTACTAAATGGCATACTTCATCTGTCGTTTTCGTACAATAAGTATAAGGAAATCGAAGTAAAACTTCCGAAATCATCCGGATGCATGGTTTCTGAGGCCCTACTTGACCGCGGAGTGCCATCCTGCGCCATCTGTGATTTCCGTGTCAACTAAATCTTCACTCCGAGATCTAATATTAACATCGTTTTAGCATAAAAACGCATAAGACACTTTTTGCCTTCATCTCGTTCAAATGCGAGTTTCTTGATTACCATAATGTTCTACATCATCGTGCAATTGTCCTGACACTTTCGTTCCTCATATCAGAGCTTTCAATAATTGTATATCGATCGAAATACGAGAGCTCGACGCCATTTTGGTTATGGTATAAGCTAAGCCAACCAATTTTAAAAGTGTTAGGATAATTCTTAAGTGCTCACGAGTCACGTGCCAAAGTTTTGAACAGTTCGATCCAATACCCTTAAAAACAAGTGTCTTATTCAAGTCGACGGATTTGAGGGAGCTTTCACTTCACCTTAAGCATTTCAGCTTGTAGGAACCTCGCCGAGAAATTCTAGATTGTAAGAACTGTTGCCCGGCTTGAATTGTTCGACGCTCGACCGCTGAGGGACGATCCAAAACATCCAGGCCGTCGAAATATAGGCGAAGCAGACGACCGCGGGGCACTCATCAAGGTGAGCTAGGAATCCCGAACCAGAGAATCACGACCTTGCCCATCTGGGTCAGCGGGACGTGCACGGGTCATACCTGCAACGGCCGCTGGAAGCCGGACCCGCAAGGGCGGAATATCAGTTCGCGGGATATCAGCGTCGGGAAGACGTCCGCTCACGGGGAGGCAGGTCCTCCCCGGGAAGTCAAGGTGGCTTCCCGGCCAGGTGTCGGACTGGTGGGCAGGAGCCCACCTGCAGTATCCTGGGGCCAACCGACACCGTCGCCGCGGTTGTCTCTGAGTCCCCAAGGCACCCAGGACCAGGACAGCCCGAAAGGAAAATTCTCATCGGCGCAAATTCCGCCAATGGACCAGGTGGGGCCTCTTCAGGCGTCATCTCTAGCTCCTACCCGGCGCCGTACCTCACTACGGGCGCAAGCTGGCCACGCGCCGGCCCCCAATCTCGGAAAATCGCAGGCCGAGAGCCTCTGTCGAACGGGAACTCCCCGTTAATTGGGCCACCTATTCAAATTCTTTCAAATTAGGCCAATCGAACAACGAGGAAGCCTCCCGAACCTGGGGAGAGGACAGCGTATATAAACAGGCGCGGGCACAGGCCCGGTTTTGTCTAATCAGTGCCTCAAGTCGCCGACTCTCCAGCACCCTGAGTCAGGAAGCCGCCTGGTTAAAGGACCTCAAGGGCCGAGAGGAGGACCGCCGACGTTGAGCCGGGTCCGGTAAGCCGAGCAGGCAGCACCCAGGTAACAGGTGCTCAGGCCTACACCTCGGAAAACTCCTTCCTCCGTCCTTAGAATTTGCATTCTCTCGTTTCGTAGCTTTCTCGCGATAACTTTTTTCTCTTTCCTTAAGGTGAAGTGATGAAACCCCCGTCAAATCAGTCGATTCGAATACATTTTTTTTTACGGGTATTAGACCGAACTGTCCGAAACTATGGCACATCACTCCTGATCATCTAAGAATTGTCCTGACACATTCAAATTTAACAAAATTTGTTTACTCAGCCCAGACCAGAACCAAAATGGCGTCGAGCTCTCATATTTCGATCAATATACAATTATCGAAGGCTCTGATATGAGAATCCAAAGGGTCAGGACAATTTTACGACAATTTAGAACACTTTGGTAATCGATAAACTCGCATTTGAACGGGGTAAAGACAAAAAAAGTGTTGTGTGCGCTTCTATGCCAAAACGATGGGAATACGAGGTCTCGGCGTGAAAATTTAATTGACCTGGAAATCATAGATGGCGCAGGGGGTCTCTGCAGTCAATTAGGGCCCCAGAAAACATAAAACCAGAGGATTTCTGGAGTTTTACTTCGATTTCTTTATAATCATTATACGAAAACGACAGGTGGAGTATCCCATTTGGTACAATACCCAATATAATTCGATACAGCTGTCAATGTAAAAACGAACGTCGGCAACGTAGGCATTTAGAAAAGTCTCCTTTATCGACGTTGATCAAGTTCCTCGACGTGTTTCACTTCACCTTAATTTGACCTGACTAATCACGCGGGGCAGCTAACGGCCGCGCCTGCTCGCGTTCACCCGGGGCAAGCGAGTATGCTTTAGTTCGGACAGTTTACATGGGGTGACCCGACCGAAATTCCATGTTTTTCCAGTCGAGGAGAAAAGTTTGCCGACCGACATCTGTTCACAAGTTTTTTATGGTAGAGCGATTTTAGTAAAGCTTACCCTCGGTTAAGCCGGGGTTTACCCTTCGCCCTCGCCTTCTGGAACCACTCTTGCAGATAGAGCTGAAACCCTTAAGGAAGGGAGGCCGAAAGAGGTTGATTTTTGGTCTCCTGGAACGCCTAACGCCCGACCGGTAATTAATATAAATGTTATGGGGTGGGCTCAAGCCAGGGCGGTGGCAGGGTTAGGGGTCCATGGTAGAACGAACAATCGCTTCTCCCAGGTCGGAACCCTTTTTGTGACTCTACTAACTCCAGGACGTATGTCGCATTTATTACGTGGCTCACCAAAAAAGTTTTAAAAATTGTTTGTATTTCTTATGTTATAGATTCTGTGTTTTAATACTTTAGTTTTTAAAAATTATTAATGAACCAGAAGTGATATACCTTTGTATTTGATACATAGTTACGGATCTCAGTCGTTTTGTAACCGTTTAGACTACATAGCTTATAAAAATTACGAATGACAGAATGTACTTTATTCAGGAAAGTTACTAACGAACCAAAAGTGAGATATGTTTTATATTTAGCCATACAGTAACCGGCCTAAGTAATTTTGTAACCATTAAAATTATTTGGCTTATCCTTAATATAATGTAACCGAAATTATGATCGGAATGGATTGTGACGGGCACACATGTATCTGGCGATGTTTTTTACACCTGATGAAGGTGTCTTTGATGTAATTTAAATATATAGAAGATATTTAAATTAGTATTATAATTCTACGATGGTTTGTAGTTGTATAAATAAGCACTGTATTTCAAAAGCTGTTAAGTATCATTCTAGTATTCAAAAATCATTAACGAAGTTCGAGTTAAAAATAAAAAAAAAGCTTACCAGGTTTCTGCACAATCCAGCGCGAAAGTCATGAAAGACGCGATTTCGGTGTGCCTGTGCCATTTTTGCATGTATGTAGTAGCAGCAGTACCCCAAATCAGTTATTTTCTTAGCCAGTAATTCAACGCGCTGCGTCGAGTTGCAGAATATTATACTCTGCGTGATTTGCAACTATAGGAATTGAAAAAAATACTATCTTAGCATCATAAAGCTATAACTTCAAATAATAATTTAACATTAATTACCCATGTTCAAATACAAACATCAAATAACGTTAATGCGGAATACATTATTCACCTTGGAAAACAGCGTGTTCAGGCAATGAACTTTTTGACGTTCCTGTACGAAGGCATAGTACTGAGTTACACCTTTAAGGGTCAGCTCGTCCATTAAATTAATCTCGTAGGGATCTTTCAGGTGCTTTTCCATGAATTGCTTCACCGTCAGAGGAAACGTGGCTGAATATAACAATATCTGTCGTTCTCGTGGTAATCTGTTTAACAAATCCGAGGAATATTACATCATTCTTTTCTTCTTAATTGAAAATTGGTGCAAGGGCATACATGTAAAGAATAACTAGTGGACGTACTTAGAAATTACATGATCCAGCATTCCCTTGAAGTCTTGCGAAAGAAGTTTGTCTGCTTCGTCCAGAACCAAAATTCTGCACTGATCCATATGAGCAACATTTTTGTCCATAAGATCGAGGATCCTTCCTGGTGTCGCTATTATCACTTGTACTATTAACGCAAACATAGGAGAAATTATTGATTGTACGTATTAAACACCTGTTTTAGTGAAACAGAATAAAATTATCCTTCATCATTACCTTTTTGATAAATCCTCATGATATCATCGCGTAAATTGGTTCCACCTGTAGTCACCATCACTTTTATGTCCATATGTCTCGCAAGCTCGATGCATATCTGTGATGTTTGTAGCGCTAATTCTCTAGTTGGAACTATTACCAGTGCTTGAATAACTTCTTTTCGCGGATCAACCTGTACAGACAAAACGGTTAGGCATATACATTTGATCAACATTGATGATTTGAAACTTTTGTACTAGAGGTAACTCAGTAACTCTTTTTACGCTGTATGAACGTAATAATTCGGGGCTAAAAAAAAAACAGGCGATTTTTCTCAATCAACACAAAGGCTGACTGATATAAATAGTAAAACGGAGTTATCGAAGTAGATAACTCAGAATGGACAGTTCTTGATATTATTTTTATTATCCTCCAAAATTGAAGCGGTACAAAAAATGTTTCGAATGAAAATTACTTTTTTTCCCTCCATGCAATGCAATGCTGCAATAAAAGTACAGGGCTACCGTTTAAAAAATTGAAGTTGATCCTGAAATGGCCTTAAAAATAAACTTGAAATAAATAACGAACATTATATTACCCCTCGACGGCAAGAAACTTTTATTTCACACTTTTTTCTCTAAAATCACCTCAGATGATAGTGTTTCAAGTTAAGTACCCCACCCGGTATAGTAAATCCACTTTATCATGATTCATAATTGAAAATATATATTATTGACGCAATTGAAATAAATAAGAAGGAACAGATGATATTATTACGGGACTTTGCAGGCTCAACTGATGGGAACTGATTTCAGGATAAATAAGTTGACCATAAAAACAGAAATATATGGTCGTCGGAAGAGGAACATGAGACAAAAATAATGTGTCACAAATCGTAACTTACTAACTTCATTTCAAATGTATATCTACTGATTGAACCTAATTTTTAATATTGTATTTGATTTTTCTAAATTAATTCATTTCTCCATTGAAAACTTGACTACGATTATACTATAACAAATATAAAACGTCAAGTAAAAAATAAAACAACACGAACTTTTTTTTTTAATCGAATACAAAGACAACATTCATTCATTACATTTGAGATTGGAATGTTAGCGTATTAACACGTTAAGCGCGGAGCCGATTTTACTGAGCTTTCCGTTTAGGCGGAACATTTTTTAATATATAGGATTCTTGATGCCGTGCTAGTCCCCAGGGACCGACGCCGCGCTTAAGGTATTACTTCCCTAAATGCAGTTTTCTTACCATTTTTTTCAGACTTTTTCAGGGTATTCTTCAGATTTTTATCTACAAAACAAGCCCATTCGGAAGATAATCGAATTTGAATATTGCATATTTTGCAGCAAGTCTTCATATGTAACACGTACATAATGAGACGCTGCGTTACATTTTCAATGTTTACGGTGAAACGAATCTTACTATTTTTTTCAAAAATCGTGACAATATAAAGGGATATGCGTTAGTTAATATTAAAAAAAAAAATGGAATTTTTTGTCCATCGGGATACGGAGATAGGGCTATCAGGAAAATTCCGAATATTTTTGTACGTCGCAGAGAGTGGGGCGGGCGGCTCAGATGTGGCAACCATGTTCACGGTAGTACATGTAACCGTCCGCGTATTTGACTTGTTCTATCGCCCTAAATGTTATGAGTAGATCATTCAATTTCAAAGTAGTAATTATAAACCGGAAAAAAAATTCACTAAACGTATTTATGTTAATATAATTTATTTACACCATTTGATAACATCACTGTATGAACTACTGATGCCCCAAACAACGCTGCTACATTCTGCGCGCCAACCTACGCTTGTGTGGCAAGTCTGTCCGTTCAGGGAATACATGTGTGCGTAGACGCCCAAGTGTACAAGCATGGACAAAGAATTCGCTTTAAGATGTAGAGGGAACTCAATGGTCGATACCATCCCCGAACGCGTCACCTTTTGAGTCCGATTACTAGGGAAGTAATACCTTCAGGTAATGCGAAAGTGGCGTTGAAGAGTTTTGGTTTATAAAACTTTTCTCCCAACTCGGTTTACCGAATAGTTTGAAACGTTGCAACGTGAATAGGGAGACTATATGGAAGGTCTTGAAACTCATGAAATTTCAATTCTTTTTAAAATTGTTTATAGGCATTATAAAAATAGTTTATAAAAAATGAAATTTCGCGAGTTTCAGGAACTACCATAGGGTTTCCATATTCACGTTTTAAAGTATAAAACGATTTGAAACACCCAGTTCGTAGAAAAGTTTTATGATCGATTGAGCTTTCGGATGCCACTTTCACATCCCCTTAACGTGTTAATAAATTTGAGAAATAAATTAAACATATAATGTTATAACATAATAACAGAAATACAAATTTAACTAGAATTCTGTGTGAAACTAATGAAACAAGACAAATACTATTTCTAAATGTGTTGTCACTTCATGATGTCTTCATTTTACATCCACAAATTTAAGCACACTAAACTTCTTGTGGATACTTTGTTAAGTCTGGTTCTAATTTTAGTAACATGCGAATGCTGGTGCGAATACTTTTGCTGGTCACTGTATGTCAGAACGCACCTTTCTTTAGCTTGTAACGGCACTGAATATGAAACCATCAAATAGCTATCGAATGAAACATTCGCCAAATAATAAATAAATTAGAATTATTCGAGATAAAAACAATGACAAATGCCGCAATCAATATTACTATTCTTGAGTTATAGAAAGGGTATCGGATATTTGTTTAAAACTATTTTATTGCGAACTCTCTTTCAAAAAGAAAAGAAACCCCCCTCAAACACGCCTCTGGTGTAGAAAAAAAAAGACAAGTTTATTAGGTCATGTTATAAAAAAAAAAAAGAATTGTTTCAGATTTCACCTATAAACGTAATACGATCATTCGTGACAAGTATACAAGCATTTTTAATCCGCAAGCAGCCTACTAACGTAACGTAGAGAAATCAGATAGTGTGATAAGACTAAATGAAATTTCATTAATCCAAAATTTGCAGAACTTTTGGAAATCAATAGCAACAGTCAATCCAGTTCTGAAAAATCCTGAGAAAATATATTAAATTATATTCTCGCTGTCGATCATCTTCCTCGCATTATGGCCTCCTCTCGATTCTACAGGTTGATTTTAGATACTTTAAGGTGAAGTGAAACACGTCGAGGAACTTTATCTATGTCGATAAAGAAGATTTTTCTAAATGCCTATGTTGCCGACGTTCGTTTTTATATTGACAGCTGTGTCGAATTATATTGGATATTGTACCAAAAGGCATACTCCACCTGTCGTTTTCGTACAATAAATATCAAGAAATCGAACTAAAGCTCCAGAAATCCTCTGCATTCATGCTTTCTGAGGCCCTAATTGACTGCAGAGGGACACCCTGCACCATCTGTGATTTCCAGGTCAATTCAATTTTCACTCCGAGACCTCGTATTCCCAACGTTTTAGCATAGAAGCGCATACAACACTTTTTTTGCCTTTATTCCATTTCAATTGAAATGCGAGTTTCTCGATTACCAGAGTGTTCTAAATTGTTGTAAAATTGTCCTGACCCTTTCGTTTCTCATATCAGGGCCTTCGATAATTATATATTAATCGAAATACGTGAGTTCGACGCCATTTTGGTTCTGGTCTGGGCTAAGTTAAAAACGTTTTTCCAAAAATCCAAATTTTCAATGTGTCAGGACAATTCTTAGATGATCAGGAATGATGTGTCAAAGTTTCGGACAGTTTGGTCTAATACCCTTAAAAAAAAGTGTTGTGTTCGAATCGACTGATTGGAAGGAGGTTTCACTTCACCTTAAGGGATTGCAAACTGCAATACCGAATTTATCGGGCCTATAGCATAAACCAGTACCTATAACAGTACTAATGATAATGTATCAATGTCACGCAGAACATAAATTCGAAGGCACATAATCACAGATATATCCTTGCGTGTTGTAACTGCAGACAGCATCTTGGTTTTATTTTCATCCAAGAATTTTGTTAATCCAGAGTGTTATTAATATAATGGTTGGACAGTGTTCCAAGCACCATGGAATTTCATGCAATTGTTGATAACTTATTAAATAAATATTTTAAAGAAAAGACAAAACTTCACTACTGTTATACTGTATTATGCTACGGGCCTAACAAGTTTGATACTGTAGTTTACAACCCCTTAAATTATCCAAAACCACCTTGTAGAATCGAGAGGAGGCCATAAAGAGAGGAAGATGTTCGACAGCGAGAATATAATTTAATATATTTTCTCAGGATTTTTTAGAACTTGATTGACTGTTGCTATTGACTTTAAAAAATTTTGAAAATTTTGAATTAATGAAACTTTGGACTTGTCACACTAACTGACTTCACTACGTTAGTAGCTTGCGGATTAAAAATGCTCCTAAACTTGTCACCAATACCTGATCTTATTACTTTTGTAGGTAAAATCTGAAACAACTCATTTTTTAATAACATGACCCATTAAACTTGTCCTTTTTTTACACCAGAGGTATTTCTGTGGGGGTTTGTTAAACTTGAACAAATGAACGGTACAGTTAACGATTTCTTGAAGTACAGTGGTGCCACGTAGCGAGAAACGATACTACTCTAGTGAAGGATTGTTAACTGTACCATTAATTTGTTCATTTTTAATACATTTACTCATCTATTTTCTTTTCTAATTTGATTAATTTGTCAATTAATTTTTCTGCAAATTAAATTAATGTATGAAGATAACATACCAAAACTAATATGTTCTTCATGATAAATAGTGGTAAAAATTGGAAGAAAAAGTATATAGCAATGGGAATCAAACCCACAACCTAGCAAGCACAGCTCTGAAGCTCTACCCAGTGTATCAATTGATATTCATGAATGATGGATTTACACTTATGGTACCAGCGGTATATTCTGAGTATCTATGAAATTTTAAATGTAGATACCTTGAGAAATAAGGCCCAATCAAACGATCGCTCGAATACGTGCCTTCTTATTTTGGCTGTAGATTAACTTCTAGAAAATTCCTTACAATCTCTGACCCAATTGTTGTGATCTCTTCTTATAAGTATTATTCTAGCTTCAACTAAGGCTCTTTTTCAATCAACTTCAAAAAAGGCGGTTCTCAATTAGACCCGTATATTTTTTCTTTTTCTGAAGGGCAAAATATAACCCGACCAGAGA